AAATGGAGAAATTTTCTATTAAGAATAAAATGTGGGTTATTGAAATTTCATCCTTACTGAATTTATAAGAACAAAATTATAAAAATAAGAAAATATCTTAATTATTTTGTATTTTAATGAGAATGATAATAGATTCATAACTCAATTTAATCTTACATAAAACAAAATAAAAATTTTAGAAACAAATTTCACTTCATAAAACAGTATGATAAAATTTTTTTAAGCAAAAATATTTGAGAAAATAATGAACAATTTATGTGAGATGTTATTCACTGAATCTTTGTATTTAAAAGGAAGATATGGTAAGCAGCACAGGAATTTTCTGCTTGAAATGAATATATCTTCCGTTTCAGACCAATAAGCCTATTTTTTTTTTTTTTATTAGCTAACTATTGCAAGTGGCATCGACAAGTATTAGTGAATGGTATTGTGTAATCCTTAAATCTTTGAGGTTCGAATTTACTAAATAAAATAAAATAACATATGTTAAATCTAAATTTATATGTAAATCACACTATATATTTTAGGAATTTTTACATACATACCACTTAAAACTATGATATTTACTTATTTAACACCTAAACTATGATATTTACACACATGCCACTAAAAACCTTTTCTCATTTCTAAAAAGCCACTCCGTCTCTGTTCTCCGTGCTCTCCGTCAAATCTTGCTCGACTGCTCAGTTCCCAAGGTTGTTTTGGGAGCCAAAATCAGCTTCATCTCGCGTTTGCTCATTTTATCCAAGAACAAAGTAGATCATTTATTCCCGTCGAGACACCTCACGCCATCGTCCCTTTATGTTCTCGTCGAGACGCCTCTCGTGCACCTCCGGTGTCCGCTTTCTCGGTAATACCCTGCATTTCTTGGTAATACACTGCACGCCATCACACCAAGGTTCAAAAGATTCTTTGTTTTGAACATTTTCGGCAATACACCTAACACCATCCAGTTAGTGATATTTGGGAAGAAAAATCTTTCAAAAAAAAAAAAAAAAAGATAAGTTTATTGCTATTAGGGAACTGTCTTGTTTAAATAAGTGATATTAGGGAAATTGTTGAACTTTTCTGATTAATAAGTATTTTAACTGAACTTTAAATTTTTACTTTTCCTATAGTTATACTTCATTATATTTCTTTATACAATTTTTCTCATTTATAACTTCTTGCTAGATATGGATTTCAACAGTTGGTGCTATATTATGTTCAAATATGGAGGATATTGGAGTGCAGTCAAGGGACAGAACAGGCTAAAATATGTTGGCAGTAACCAGAGAACTTTAAAGCTTGGGATAAGTGATGTCAATTTGTATTTACTGAAAGAACGAACCGAAGCTCTATGCCTGTGGCTAAGGGGTCATGCTTATGACCTATAATATCACATTAATGGTACATCGCCTAAAAATTACATGCCCATTATAAGTGATATTGATGTAATGGACATGCTTACATATTCTTCTGGTTCCCATAGAATGGAGGTTGTTGTCGTTGTGAAAGAGCTTGAAGAAAATATGGGTATGACTTGTGATAGCGACCATATTGAGATGCATGATTTAAGTAGCAACAGAACGGCAAACAATGATGATTTAGTTGGTGAAATTTCTGATGGTATTATTAAAAGTCCTAATTTAGAGGATAATTCCCTAGTTGTGGGATCGCGTTTTGAGGATTCATGTAGTTTCAAACAAATCATTCGTTCAATTGCAATAATACATAACTTTGATATCAAGATTAAGGCTAGTGACAAAACACTAGTTATTGCTACATGGTCATATCGTGGTTGTCCTTGGAGGATAAGAGCTTCGTTATGTTCTGATGGCCATTCTTTTGAAGTAAAAAATTGCATCCTACACATTTATGCCCATGGATGAATAGAGCTGGGAACAAGCAAGTTGCACAAGACAATATATAGGGTTTAGTCCGAATGTGGAATGCACTTATCCGAATGTAGATTATTGGGTTTATAGCAAGTATAAATTGAACATTATAGATTACAATGACAATATATAGGTATCTCGCGGTTTCGCATTAATGTCGGCGACCGGCTCGAACTCATTTCACAAATCGAGGATACATGTAATTGCAAATCAAATCTTTACAAATTTCATTTATATGGACAAAGCATAAATTATTAAACGTGATTTAGACCGAATGTGGAATGCACTGGTTTTATGGAGAAGAAAAATGAAAAACACATCTCTTAGTGTCATTTTATCAAACACCTGTCATGCAACATTCAAAATACCCTTATCCCTACCGATTTTGGCCAAATAAAAAACGGAGAAGCAAACACATACTAAGAGATAAGCAAACACATACTAAGAACACATACTCTTCAAAATATGGATAAGCAAACACATACTAACACATTAGGTATGATTTCAAAAAGCATACAACAACAACAACAACAACAACATCAAGCCTTTATCCCACTACGTGGGGTCGGCTACATGAATCCTTTTTCTCCATTGTGTCATATTAAAAGTCAAATTCTCGTTTAAATCTAATAAAGAAAGGTCATTCCTAATATTTTCTAACCAAGTCTTTTTAGGTCTACCCCTACCTTTCTTAACATAAGTCAAATCTAATACCTCTACTCTCCTAACCGGGTCATCACAAGGCCGCCGTTTTATGTGACCAAACCATCTAAGGCGACTTTCTCTAATCTTATCTTCTACTGGAGCTACTCCAACCTTTTCACGTATATGCTCATTTCGTATCCTATCTCTAAGGGTAAAGCCACTCATCCACCTGAGCATCCTCATCTCTGCCACACTTAACTTAGTATTATGCTTCTCTTTTAAAGGCCAACATTCGGCACAAAAAGCATAAGACAAATAAAAAATGCATACTCTTATCCTTACAGATTTTGGCTATAATACAAAAAATCAGAAGCATAAATAAATGAACGAACCGAAGAATGAGGATGGTGTAAAAACGAAGAATGGGGATACTTCACACGGCAAAGGAATGAGGCGATGGTGTGCAAAAGAATGAGAGGCGATGGCGTCGAAGTATGGAGAAGAATAGGGTGGTAGAAAATAGAAGATTTCGCCTGGCAAAGGGAGGCGGCGACTTCGACTAGGGCTGCTAAACCTTGCGAACTGAGCAGTCGAGCGGGATTTGACGGAGAGCAGAGACAGAGTGGCCTTTTAGAAATGAGAAAAGGTTTTTAGTGGTATGTGTGTAAATATCATAGTTTAGGTGTTAAATAAGTAAATATCATAGTTTTAAGTGGTATGTATGGAAAAATCCCTATATTTTATTGTGAGGACGGAGTGAAATGACAAAAGAAGAAGAAGAAGAGAAATAATGAATTTTAGATTAAGAAGCACTAAGATGTTCATAAACTAAGTTTGAGTACAAGAAAATTTTATATAACTTGAGCTTACCACGTGGCCCTCTATTTATAAATTTAGGTTAGTAGCTTGAGCCTTACATAATTGACTATATATATTGCTATATAAAAAATAAGAAATAAAAAATAGGTGGTTTAGCCTATTTTTTTCTTTGCAAAATATGATTTTCAGGCCTTTAGAATATCCAACATGAGGAGTCTATTTGTTGAGCTAATGCGAAGTCGTTAATTTCTCGTACATAAGTTGACAAATTACTGATTTATAATTTCTTGTGCGAAGAGAGTCATTATTAACTTAAGAAATCGCTAGGGCGTGCTGACAGGGGTGGAACCCCCTTTAGGTCGGGGGGGGACATGGGTGGACATTAAAAAAATAATTTTGTTATATTATTCTTTTGGTAATTTGTCCCCCTCTATTTAATTTTTAGTCTTTATTACAAAGTTTTAAAATACTATGATTGTTTGGCAACCCCCGCGACCTGATCGGGCAAGTTGAACTCTGCAAAGGGGCGCTGTCCCCTTGGACCCCCGATATATCTACGGAGCATACAACGATCAAGGATATGAACAAATAAAGGTCACTATTGACCCATTTTCTTGTAATGAAGGGTCGAACCTAATTTGAGGCAATGCCAACCATTACTTATATATTTGACCCTTGCGTACTCATCTGTTTGGGATAAATTCATAGTTCATAGACACCTGCCTGGGTTTGTACACTTCATTAATTCTTTTTTAATCAAAGATTGAGTTAACTTGAATCGGGCTGACTTCACTTGAAATGAGCCGACTTGACTTGACTTGAAATGAGCCAAACTTAATTAGAATCTAATTTTTTTGGATAACTTAATGCTCATTATTACTTAGTTAACTCAACCATGGTTTGTAAAGGTTTATCATAAATGGTCAGTTACATCCTCTTGTTTCTTTTTTCAAAATTGTTGGAAGCCATTCGCTCTAATTTTTGGAAGTTATTACTTTTAAGTAAGATCTATAATCTATATCCAGCTTGGGCTATTTTGTTTTGGAAAAAAAAAAAAAGACGAGGTTACTTTGATTAAAACTTTATTAGAATTAGTTTAAAAAAACTAATAATAATTAATTGATTATTCATATATTATATTTATTTTAAAATAAATCAAAGAGTATATTAACATTTGTCATCATCATGATATTCTGACATAATTTCATCCTTTTTTATTTAATTTTTTTTAATTATAAAAATAAGAAAATATCTTAATTATTTTTTATTCTAATGAGAATGATCATAGCTCAATTTAATCTTACATAAAACAAAATAAAAAAAATTAGAAACAATTTTCACTACATAAAACAGTATGATAAATTTTTTTAAGCAAAAATATCTGAGAAAATAATTAACAATTTATGTGAGATATGTGAGATGTTGTTATTCACTGAATCTTTGTATTTAAAAGAAAGAATAAAATGGTTGAAATGAATATTTCTTCCGTTTCAGACCATTTGCAGTACTTAATTGAATAATGGTTACTTAAAAATATAGAAACAAAGGGATAATATAATGAATGATTCCTACAGCAGAGTTTCAAAGCTGCACGGGAAGGAAGAAGACAATGAAGAAAGAGTTCACGGATTTGGCATTAAAGAAATACAGGAAGGTCAGTACAAAAAATGACGCAGAACAACATTGATTTTTATTCATATCAACTTCACATATGTACAAAAGAAGATGGGTGTGAATGCTGTTACAGAACAAAAAAGCTGATGCAAATGTTAATGGTTTATTAATGCTTAATAAACCGAAAAAAAATTTACCTAACGACTCAAAATTCAATTTTTTTTAATGCTCTAAAGAAGAAAAATGAGATCCAGTAAAATAGAACCCATCTTCAGTTAGGTTCCAGTTCTTCAGCTTCAGATTATGGTGCGGTGGGCAGGAAGTTTGCTCCTTGGATTCAGTTTCTTTACCTCTTCACTTGGATAAATGTATATCTTTCTCACCATGTCACAGAATTCCCTACAGGAATCACAAAATGAGCAAAAGAGCAGGCAGGAATAGCAAACAAGGAGATAGGTTTAAGGAAACTTACAGCCATGGATCATCACCAACAAGCATCATATCACCCTCGTCATCAGTGAAAACAAGTTCCCATTTTTCCCTCTGGCAAAGCTCTCCACTGATCTCAAACATCTTTTCTAGTTCTGATATCAGGTCCTCATACCCTCCAAGGTTCATGAGGTCCACAGCTCTACCAACAGCAACTCCATGCATGTGAACCTTCAACATTTGCGTTCTGAATGTTAGAAATACAACAAAGAACTTTGATACAAGAGCTAATTTGCAGAACTTTACCTTAATCCGGGTTCTGGTAGCACTGCTTGTCCTGCTCTGGATCTCCTTCTGAGAAACCTGAACCACTTGCTTTGAACTCTTTGAAGTTTTCGATAGTTCAGAGAGTTGATCCGAATCCTCCACACAAGTTTTTTGAACTTGAGGTTGCTCCACAGCTGCAGCTTCAGGTTTCTTGTCAATGGAGGATGTTGAAGGATTGATGAGATTACCCAGATTGATTCCAAACACGTAGGCACAGCAATTTTCAGATTTCTCTGTCGCCATAGAAACTTTTGAGTTTGGATCCTCAACTATGTGGCCGGGTATTGAGTGTATGTTAGGAACGGTAAGCTTGGTCTCCTGAGCTGATTCCTGAAATAACTTCAGGGAAGCTTCGTTGTAAGGTGATGTCAAACTCGAGAAAGAAGAATGGTGCTCCTTCAACCATCTATCACTGCTGTGAAAATTGGGTGTTTTGATTATGATACTCCCCTTATCCGCCTTGGGTTTTGATGGCCAGATAACTGGTGTGGTTAGGGGACCTAAATCGCATGTGCGAGTGCTTGCTGAGTACCAAAAACGTGAAGAGGCCTCTGCAATCCAGCAATAAAAACACGAAACTTGATCATTAAAATCTGAAAAAATAAAGGATCTTCCACGAAATTTTAATTCTCAAAGCTAATACGTCTTCAAAACCTGGAAGTAGGGGATCTAAGAAGTCAGAAGATGGCCTGGGTCTTTTGCTCTTGGCAGACAGAGGCTGAGGTACGCTGACAGTAGACGTTAAGGGGTTGAAAGGTTCAATTTCCCATGGAGAAACCCTGTCAGGTCGCAGAATATTGGTTTGTTCATCCCATTGAACCTGAATGGAGAAAAAATATCTTGAAAAATCTCCAACATACATTAACGGGCAAAAACAAAGGTGGAAAGAGATCATGATCTTACCTTTAGTTGTCTCCACTTCGAACCTTCCCACTGTGAAGACAAGTCTCCAACACCAACAATAGTTCCATTGTACCTAAGTGAAAAGAATAACACAACCAAATTCACATTCAAATCATGACAATGTGTAATTAAAGCTAATAAATTTCATCTATTAGTTCAAAGAAAGAAGAAAACATAAGATGAGATAACGCCGAAGCAATGAACAATTTACCTCTTTTCTGGAGTATCTTCTCCTTCAAATCTCATCATAAATCTCATTCCCAGGGAAAACTTATTATTCATAGCTTCCAAATATTTGTTCACACCAACAATGAATTGACTAACTCTGATTAACCAAAAATAAATTTCATTTCAGTTAATTTAGAGAAAGACACAAACTTCAAATTATCTGAAAAAAGAAAAAAAAAAATCTAAGAAGAAATCTTTCCAACCTTGGTTTGTAACACACAGTGAACAAGGTTTGGGTTGTCACAGCATGTGATGCTGTAGCAAGCACTCCAAGATGCATGCTTTGACTAGAGATCACAGATGATGGAATTGTGCTATGCTGTCGAGAAGCTCGCTTAACACCTACTCTCAATTCTCCATTCTCTCCTCTACATATATGATATCACAGTAATTTAAGAGTTCATCTAATATAACATAAAGCCTTGGAGGCAAAACACAAGAAGAATTAAAGAAAAAATAACATTTTTTCCTCAGATTCAGATACTGTGCAGTTTATCTAATATCACAAGGCATGACAATTAGAAGACACTTGTGATCTTAGAATTTAGTACCTTAAGAAAACAAATGCATCGCCAGCTACTAATCTCTTAGAAGTGACAAAGGTACTCCATCCTGTCGTGAGCAAATGCCTTCGAGGTTGTCCTGTGATCAGAAAATAATGAGAAACAAGGAAAATAAACTCTTCATCTTATTTAGATGCAAGCTCTAATTAACATAAAGGAGCATGCCCACGTAGCTACAGATTCAAAAATTACCTCTAAAAATGTGTTTGAATCGCCATTCATAGCCATGAAGGTCTTTGGCAGATAGCTCCTGGGTTGGAGTTGGCTGTGACATATCCTGAGTAAGAAGAGAAGAGGAAAAAAAAACAAGAGAAAAAGAAAAAATTTATGAGAACATGAACAGAAAAAGATGATGCCTTTTCTGAAAGAAAGAAATGGAAAAAGAAGCAACCAGTGGGGGAAGGCACTCATTGGCATGGCGACGGAGAACCGAGAATCCACCATGTGTGCTAGTATCAGAGGCAGTCAGAATTTTGGAGAACGAATTGACCACCGGCCTCTTTGGTTCTGGGAGAGAGGGGTCTGGTGTAGTGAGCTCGTTTTGCTGTAGAAATTAAGGAAAACAATTACTACTTTTAAACCAACAGGCAAAGCCAAAGATCAAAATATCGGTTAGATGCTTACATCTGCCTCTGGAAGCAACGTGATCTGTGCATAAACCTCGTCTGTTTCATGCTCAGCCTATATAACAAATCAAAGTAAAAGGAAAAGAAACTGTCAAAATTTACTAACTTCAGGGGAGAAAAAAACATTTGATTCAGAAATTTACAGAGTACAAATTAACCAATTTAAAAAACTAAGAATAGGAAAGCAAAAGGGGAAATAGAACTTACCTTGAGCTCTACGTATAGAACGCGACAAAGAATCTTGGATCTTCCTGAAGGAAGATTGAAGAGTGGAATACGCTGATCCAACTCCTGATTTGTCGATGCTTCTAACTACACATCCCATTGAAACCCCAAATAAAACACAGAACCTCATATTGAACACAGAGAAGATAAAGGACAATAATGGAAGAAGGAAAATCCTCACCTGCTCCATGTGACCTTGAGCAAAATAATAAACCCTCTCATCAACGCGAGGTATCTCGACCAACGGACCCGCGCAAGCCCTCCATAGCTCCTCGTACAAAACATCTCCCACCATCCTTCTCAAATGCTCAACAAGACCATCAATTTCCCAAAAAAACAAGAAGCCACAATCAACCTTCCTCTCAGATCTCCCGCGATCTTTGCCCTCTCTGCTTAACAACCGAACGAAGCTCCGGTTTCTGCTATTATCCTACTCGAGCAACCAGCCGTTCTGTCATCTCGCCTTTAATGGCCACTACTCGCTCTCCACAAACCGGAAATCACCGAATTCGCTTCCGTTTCCTCTGAAGGCGAAACCGTCGAATTCGGAATCCAAGCCCAAAACCCACACCTTTCCGCTTCACAAGTCCCAATTTTACCTCTAAAAATCTCTTCTTGCAGCAATGTCACTTACTTTCTCTCCCCAACACGTGGAAGACGAGAGGATTCGATATCATAGGAGGCTTTCATAAAACCAGGCTCGCCAAATCGCTGTAACTGCCTTCTTCAATCCTTATTTATGGCCACGACACCCACTCTCGCAGCAGTGCGATGCGTTTCAGCTCACCTTGGTGACGTTAGTGTAGGTTCACCGGAAATGACCGTATGGAACACGACGGTGCGGTGTGGCGCACGGCGCTACGTGATTTGTTTTGCGTGATGGCGGCGGGTTGCCGTTGGCCCATAGCTCTGTCAGATAAGAGAAACTGCCATTGGCCATAGCAAGTGACGGCGTTAGATTGCCGTGTCTTCCCCCAGGCCGGCAGGTTCGTTTTTTGGCTTGATGCGGCCTGCAAAACCTAACGGGCTACCGTATCCAAATAAATAAATAAATTTAATAATAATATCTATATAGAATCACTAATTTAAGTTATTTAGAGAATATATCGAACTAATTATGAAGTTTAACTGACCATAATTATTTAATCAGCAAAAAAGGAGAAGGAAAGTTATATGGTAGTTGGATTTATTTTGCTATATAATTTTACTGATGTTATCTAATTAAGTCATTATAATTATTTTTATTTGTAACTATTTGCCTCGGCTCAAGCTTATGAATAGGTGTTAGAGGAAGATCATGAAATATAAATCATTTGCATAAGTTTTATACTTCTTGGCAATCAAGAGAAATCTTAGAATTTATAATTCTTCTTTTTCTCTTATTTCAATCCATTATTATCGATAAGTTACCAATAACATCATCCATGAAAAAAATTTAAATCCAATAGTCTTTAAGATGCATTGAGTATGAAAAAAATGTTTGGAACAACAAGATAAGCCATTAAACAATAGTGTGACGTCTCAAGATCTAAATGTAGAAGAATTACTTATTTTATGTCTTAATTAAACTAGTAGAGCAATTATCTACACAAACAATATTTCACTATAATCAATATTCATCAAAATTTATTTATACTAGCTAGAAGCTTAATCAATACATCCTGATTACTAAAGAATGAAGTAAAAATATTGCACACATAAACTTGCAATCCTGAAATCATATTAGTGAGCTGGATCCCTACCTGAATATAAAACATTAACATTGTAAAGTGAGCAAACAACTCAGTGTGTTAGCATAACTTATAATTGACATCAATGCACGATAGTAGAAATAATTCTTTTGATCATGCAAGCACCGCAACACTTAAAACCCTCGGCACCACAATGCTCACTTATACCCTTGTAAACCCAATAGCTTGACATTGCAGTACTTAACAAACAAAACATCATAGAGCTTCAAGCGAAATTTTTTAGATATACATGAATTTTAGTGAAATTTAAAATTGTGGCTAATTAGAATTATTCAATAAATTTAGGAGTATATACTAAAAAACCACTTTGTATATGAAAAATTCCAAATATGACATTTAAATTTGTCATTAGTATTTAAATTTGAGAATACAAGCTTCAACCCTAGTAATTAATGCACTTATCTCCCAAAAAAGTGTTAAAACTCTTCAACCTTAAAGGCCGGCCTTGATGCATCAACCTAAAGTAATTAACATATATTTTAAGGAGGTTTCTTAGGTCGGTGTGCAATAAAGTTTAAAATTTCTCACTATAATTTTTATAATGGATACATAGATCTAATGAATGTTGTCAGTGTTCTTCACTATGCTGAAGGAGTTCATACTGTTTTTGGCCTCTTTACTCTTTCTGGGAAGTATAACATCCTTTATGAAGTTCAAGTGGTAATTTATTAGTGCTCAAAAGCCCTTGAAGAATTATTAAGCTTTATTAAAGATTATCTACGTATGAGTAAGATAAACATTTGAGAAATTTTATAGTTTATTTTCAGTTTGAGAATTTTGAAGTTGAAGATTTAGTGTTAATTCTAATACAAGCCATGCTTACTAAGGGTCTAAGAGAGAGATCACTTAAACTAGAAAATTTGGATTTTAGAGTAGAAAATATTGCAATCAACACCTACATAATCAAATATACAGATGATAGCAATAAATATACATAATGAAATTAATTAATGATTTAATAGGAGGAAGTTATAAGGATGATAGTGACACAAATAATTTAGTGTACATGCAAATTAGATATGATATGCTATAAGATTATTAACCTAAAATAAGTACAATTTACTGTTATTCAACTATGATTACACATACTTATTATCAATTAAGTTGATCCTATAAATACAATAATATTAAGGAATGATATTGAATGATTAGTTAAGCTAGTCACAAGTAATTTGAAGTATAGGCATAATTATAAAAGATCAATGTAATATCCTAGCTTATATTATTAATTTTATCATATGTTAAATTTAAATGTCAACATAACAAATACATGAACAACAACTGGTCTTTATCCCTATTTTTTCCTAGAATATTTGCGGCGATAGAGAAATATATAGTTTAACATCTTAACATTGTGCGAAGATCCAGTACACAAGCACATGAAAGAGATAGTATAGCATTCATAAGAGACACCTGAGTTTTTACATAGAAACCCCTAAAAAGGGGAAAAAACCACGGGGTCAGAAAGAGCGTAGTTTGAATGAATCCTCTAGTATTTACAATCGATTACAAATGAGGCACTTCCTTGGGAGAAGGCCTTGGCTTGATGTCACAAATGTACATTATATAGAGCGCATTACATGGTGGGAGTTACAATAATCAACATAGACATATTTGTTTGTTCGGCAGGACCATAGTCTATAGGATAGAGGTCAGAAAGATCATAGTAGGATATAAAGATTTGAAGGACTGTAGTCGACAGGAGACATGGGTCAGAAAGACCATTATCTGGCAAGGGAGGTTAGAAGGACCGTAGTCGGCAAAAGACCGGGGTCAAAAAGACCGTTGTCTAGCAATGGAGGTCAAAAGATAATAGTAGGTGAACGAGGTTAGAAAGACCATAGTTGATAGAAGACAAGGGTTATAAAGATTGTTGTCTAGCGATGGAGGTCAAAAGGATTGTAGTAGGCAATAGAGATTGGAAGGACCGTAGTCCGTAGGAAACTGGGATCAGAAAGATCATAGTATCAGAGCGATACTCTAGTGGAACTCTAGGCATCAAGTGGTGGCCTGATAGAAGTTTGTGCCTTAAAGGTAGTCCGACAGAACTCTAGGTATCAGGTGGTGGCCCGATAGAAGTTTGGACCGTAGGTGGTGGGCTGGTAGAAGTCTGCGCCTCAGGTGGTGGTCCGATAGAATTCTAGGACTCAGGTGGTGGTCTGACAGAACTTCAGGTGTCAAGTGGTGGTCCGTCAAACGTTTGAGCCTCAGGTGGTATTCTGATAGAAGTCCGAGCCTCAGGTGGTGGTCCGATAGAACTCCGGGCATTAAGTGATGGTTCGATAGAACTCTAGGCATCAGGTGGTGGTCCGATAGAACTCTGGGCATCAGGTGGTGGTCCAGTAGAAGTTCAGGCCTCAAGTGGTGGTCCGGTAGAGGTCCGGACCTGAGATGGTGGTCTGATAAAAGTTTACTCCTCAAGCGGTGGTCCGGCAAAACTCTAACGTTAGGTGGTGGTTCAGCAGAACTCCGAGCCTCAGGTGGTGTTCCAGTAGAACTCTGAGCCTCACGTGGTAGTCTAGTGGAACTCCGAGCCTTAGGTGGTGGTCTGGCATAACACTGAGCCTCAGGTGGTGGTCCAGTAAAACTCCAGGCCTCAAATGGTGGTCTAGTAGAAGTTCAGGCCTCAAGTGGTGGTTTGAAAAAACTCCGGTATCAGGTGGTGGTCCGACAGAACTGAGGGCATAAAGTGGTGGTCCTGCGGAACTCAGGGCCTCCAGTGGTGGTTTGGCAGAACTCAGGGCCTCTAATGGTGGTATGGCAGAATGTAGGGCCTCTAGAGGTGGTTCGGCAAAACTCAAGGCCTCTAGTGATGGTCCGACAAAACTCAAGGCCTTAGGTGGTGGCCCGGCGGTGCTTAGGGCCTCAAGTGGCGATCCGATGAAACTTCAGGTGGTGGTCGAGGAGGAGCGAGGAAATAAGAGCGATCTTCAATCTCTCTCTTGTTCTCTTGCTTGGAGCCCCCATTAAAGAGGGAGGAGGGGTATATTAATAGATTTTCGAGAGTGATATGACCCATAAATAGGAGGAAGATCAAGGGTAAATAGGGAGTGGTTTGGATGAACATCCGATGTTGAATCCCTTGATCGTGGACCGTTCTTTAGACATTTGAAGCTCTTAAAGATGTCAGAATTCTATGATCTTGGGCTCGCTGGATTGGACTCGTCCAGTCACTCGATTCAACTATAACCATGTCATGTTTGGAAACTGTTTGGTATTCCAAATTGTGGTTTGAACCTTCCAACAGTGCTTCGAGTCCTCAATTCAGAATAATTTGGGCTCAGATTGAGTCAAATTTGGTGTCGTTGGGTTTGTATTTTCAAGACGTTCAATTCGGCTATAAGTTTGTTAAAATCGGAGCTAAGATGGTACCAATTTTAATTTTGGAAGTTTCCAACTTGATTTTTCCTTGAAATTTGTGCCCGATCAAGATATTTTTTAATGATGTATCAATCCCACTACATAGGGTTGCATGGCTACATGAGTCTTGATATGCCACCAAAAATAGTCTTGATCAAGCATAAATCTTGAGGCATATCCAAGTTAGAAACATTTGAAATTAAATTTGGGACTATCCAAACTCTGACTTCAACAAACTTAACGCAAATTGAAAATCTAAAGGAGATGAAACCAATGACATTGAAATAGGTTTGATCCCAAATGGGTCCCAACCAAGGGGCCAAAGAGTATTTGGTAGGTTCAAAGCATTAATTGGATAAGCAAATGATCTCCACATATGACATGCTTATAGTCGGATCGAGTGGCTCAACGATACGAATCCAATGAAACTAAGATCACTTAATTTTTACATCATTAAGGCACATAAAGGCTTGAAAAATATGCCATAGTTGAGGGAATCATTATGGCCTTCTGATTGAGCACTTCAAACCGGCCCTGAATCTTCTCCATATTTATAGAGTGTGCCACTCATAAAAATATATAAATATATCACATTCTCTATAT